AATAAAAAACATCAATACCAATTATAAATGAAATGTGGTGTATTCATCAGGTTAATGTATAGTAGTTCCTCCTTACCCAAAGTCTCGCTCTCTGCAGTGGGTTCCCTGCAGTCAACTGCAGCCCATGAGCAGACAATCCTCCTTCTGATTTATTGTCAGAAGGTCCATAGCAGCTGAGGGCTACGTCACAAGCCTACCATATTCATCACACTTCATCTCATCACATAGGCATTTTTATCATCTCACATCATCATCATCAGAAGGGTGAGTACAGCACAATAAGATATTTTGAGAGAGGGAGAGAGAGAGGGACCACATTCATACTTTTATTACAGTATATTGTTCCAATTATTTTATTATTATTTATTGTTGTTAATCTCTTACCATGCCTGATTCGTAAGTTAAACTTTATCATACACATGTATGTATGGAAAAAACAATGTATAGGGTTCAGTACTCTCTGCAGTTTCAAGCACCCACTGGGGGTCTTGGAACGCATCTACTGTGGCTAAGGGGAGACAATTGTATATTTATGTGTATATGTTGTCAGATTAATATTTTTCCATCAAATAATATTGGATAATTGCACATTCAGGAACATTAAAATAATTCTTATTCAAATAATTGCAAACTGCTTTTTCTTTAAATTCTTTTTTATCTGATATTTATCTCACCATGCTGTTAGGAGTTAATTGGACACTTAGGTAGTCAGGACCAGGGTCCCCAACAAGAAAACAGGGAGCCAGGACAACTAAGACAAAACCGCACTAGCATCCTGTTTGACAGCTTAGACAAGGCCCGGATAGCAACCTGTCTAGCAGCCTCTGTAGAAGTAACTTTTGCAAAACATCCCGAAACAAAACAATTAACCGTAAAATATGGATCACTATCACAAGTTGAGGCAGTTAGTCTCCAGATGTCAGCCCAAAAGACCATCAACACGTGAACAATAACCCAATAGGTAGACAGGGGCATGATCAGAGTCCTGATTGGCACGCCTTAGTGGCCAATCCCCAGGGGCCCACTCTCAGGATGCTCAAGATAGTTCTGCAAAAGAGCTTATAAAAACCCCTAGATTTGAGTGCCAAAACGGCAACCCTCTCAGGTCCCCTCCCTCTGTGGGAGCTTCGTACTATCGCTCAACAAACTTTGCCTTGCTGCCCCCCAGTCTTCAGCTGGCCTACTTCTTCATTCTTCTAAGCAGCGTGACCAAGAACTGTGGGCACAAAGGGAATAAAAATCCTGTAAAACCAAGACAAGCCTGATAGGTGAGCTCCCTTTCTTTATCAAAAGTGCCACCTACCAACCTGGAATGGTCTGCTTTTTTCTTCTACTCTCCCTGCCCTCTGGATGGGGCTTGTTTCAGATGACACAGAGAAGATCCTCAGTTTCAAACCGACAGCCATTTACACCCAGCTGTTATACCTCAACACAGAAACTGATGGATGGTTCTCCATGAAGACCACCTATCACTTCCCGGAAAGATCACTCTCTTTGCTGCCCTTTTGGGAGATGAGAAGTTACTTGCAGAAAGCAGTACTTGGAGTCTCACTTTATTTAGGAAACAACATGCATTTATTCATCAAAATGGTTTTTACTGAGCACCTATTTTGTGCTGATATGCGTGTTAGTTAAGGTGCACCGTGAGCAGGGCTCTGTGATTGGAATCCCGCACATGTTCTGGGAGTTAGCCCTGAGGACATCCAGAACTAATTCACATAAACTATTGGATATTGGAGGATACAGATAAGGTGCCTTGCCTTCCTGGTTCTGAAGGATCTTTGATAGTTTGTCCACTTGCGCTCATGTATTTTGGTGGTTTTTAGCATGTGGAGCTGACAATTAGCCTACAGGAATGGAAAACTGAATGCTGAAAGGTATTCGGGTAAGTGGGTCCTAACCTGACGGACAGAAATCCTCTCAGCAGATGTGAAGACCTTTGTTCCACTTTTTCTGCGTCCAGGTGTCAGGGACCAGAGTATTTGTGAAAAACTTTCTTTCCTGCGGCATCTGGGTGGCTCAGTTGGTTTAGTTTCTGACTCTTGATTTCGGCTCAGGTCATGACCTCAGGGTTGTGCAGTTGAGCCCCGTGTCTGGCTCTGTGCTGGGCAGGGGGCCTTGTGAGATTCTCTCTGCCTCCCTCTCTGCTCTTCCCCCACCTCTCTCAACACACACACACACACACACACACACACACACACACACACACACACAC